GAGGTTTTTACAACTCTCGGTACTATGATCGTGGTCTTTATGAAAACTGCAATACAAATTTTTATTCTGGGTGCTAGGGTCGGCCTTCAACTGAGGTGGCCACTTCACATATGGAGCGTCCTTGATCGCCATGAGGATCTCAGCCCGTTTTGTGTTGAGGGGCGTGTAGTCCCTTTCTGTTGCTGGAGCTCGGGAGGGCTGACCTGGCCTCACCCCCCGAGCTCTGTCCTTCTTCTTCTTGCTGTCGCCCTGAGACGGGGGTTCTGGCTCCCTCTTTCTTTTTTTCTGGGGCCTGCTCGCCCTTCTGATTGATCTCCTCCTCGGTCCCAATAAACCGATCCGCGAGCTTAAGGAACTCGGTTACGGTTTTGGGTTGGTTGACAACTACGTGCCACTTGAACTCCTTATGGGTGATACCTCGCTTGGCAGTTGTGAGGCGAACTGCGGGATCCAGGTCGGGTATCTACAAACAAGCGTCATTGAACCACTTGATGTAGCTTCGAATGGACTCCCCTTCCTTTAGCACTATGCCGAGGAGGCTCTCCTGAGTTCGCGGGCATCTCTTGCTGGTGAAAAAGTGGGAGGTGAAAACCTGCACGAACTACGCCCAACTTCTTATCGAGCTGGGCGCGAGGTTTCGGTACCAGGTGCGGGCCACTACTTTGAAGGTAGTGGAAAAGGTTACGCACATGCAGGACTCGCTGGCTCGTGCTAGGTGCATCTAGGACTGGAAGGCGTCCACATGGTCACTTCAGCTGAGCATACCTCCTCTTTTCCTTTGAACTCGGGAGAGGCTCTGGAAGCAGTTCGACGAGCTCACCGGCGTCTTCACTATTGCTTTGCTGGTTCGGCTTTGGTGCTCGACGCTTCGGTATTGCCGAGCTCGATAGGCTCGAACTGCCGGTGACAACTCTGGACTGAAAGGCCCTGTCTGTAGCCCACTGCCAGGACCTCAAACGGGTTGTCCGCTAACGAGAGCTCAAACTGCAAAGGTTGTGGTGACACGGGCTTTGTTGGGTGAGAGGCCTCTGACCCGCCCACAGGCTGCGAGGCGGGTGCCGAGGGGGAAGCCAGCCTCTCCTTCTTGCTACGGGAAGAGGCGTGGCTCTTGGCTGGATCCTGGACCTAGGAAGCTTCTCCCCAACGAGGCCGCTCACTCCGGCGGGTTGGTTTGGCCTGTTTCGCGGCCAGGTGCTGAGGGGGAAGCGACGGTTGGGCCTGAGGCAGAGAGGGAAACTGCTGCTGGTACTAGTACTAGGAAACCTGGTGCAGCACTTGTTGTTGGTAGAGTTGGATTTGTTGGAACTGTTGCATTTCAGCCTGCATGGCCCGCATGCATTGCACTAAGTCCTCCAGTTGGTTCGGATTGGCCGTTGGGGGCACAACCGAGGGTTCAACAAAGGTCGATCCTAGTGTAGAAGGGAGCGGGGCAACGGCAGGTGCCACAATAAGAGGCACATTCAAACTGGGGACTTCGTCCATGGCGAGGGGGACGGTAAACTGTCCAATGCAGACAGTAGGAAGATGGGGCTGCTCCCTAGAAGCGTTCTAGCTGTTGCCACGTCCGGCATTGCTAGAAGAAGCCATGAAGAATGCTAGGTTTTTGGAACAAGGTCTTGTAAAAGCTTGGAGGAAGGCTTTTAGAAGCGTTCCCACAGACGGCACCAAACGATGCAGTACGATCTGGGCACTCCTAGTTGGCTGCTGACTGGCTCCTTGTTGGCAACGAACGGCACCTGAGAAGACGAAGAAGAAGGATTCCCGAGGATTTGCTGGGCAAGAATACTCCGAAAATTAAGTTAGAACGCTGGGGAGGAAGAAGAGAGAGTATAAAAGGCTAAGAGTGTAGATCACGCTAGACCACTATGTCTCGAGATTACCTCGTGAGCAAGTAAGAGTGCAAATTCAGATCTAATTCGAGAGAGAGAGAGTTTACCTCTCTGCTTAAAAGGCTTTTATAGGGGCGTTCTTGTCAAATTAGGCGTAACCGCCAATGGGCTCCCGTCGCAGCCGTTACCTGCCAGGGCTGCGCAGGTGATCGTTACAATGTACTACCCGCTTGGCTGAGTGACACGTCTTCGAAGGGACAGGCACACCACCATCTGTCGAGAGACGTGGGCCAAACTGTCAATCGAGCAGGGACTACGCCGTCAGTCGAGAGATGTGGCGCAGTCTGACGAGTACGGTCTTGTCAGATGGAAGCTTCCTGAGAGCGTCGCATCACAGTCGCAAGTTACTTCGTAGCAGGCTATCCCTGCCGCGAGCTACTTTGTAACAAGCTCTCAAGGGTACTTCGAGGTGACCCTTATCAAGGTTGGTTTTTGGGGCAGTTCTTCTGCCCAGGTGCTGGAGCGAGCTGGCCTCCCTATCCCGCGAGCTGAAATAATCTTGGAGTATTCCCTTCTCAGTAGCTCGGGGGATCTGGAGCTCGCGTTGTAGCAAACTCCCCCTATAGAGAGCTATAACGTAGCGAGCTGTTCTACAGACTCGTTACTTGGTCACGGTCAAGCCAGGCTACTGAACTGTTGCTCATGCTGAGTCAGGTCCACGCGTCATCATCTCAGTAGGTCGGGTCAAATCATCCTCCATCAACTCCAACAAGAACTGTCCTTCGGAAGATGGGTATCCTCCAAGAAGCTTCATTCCCTTTCTGCTCCAAAACTGATGAATCACTTCATCCTGTCTTCTTCGGATGTGACTTAACCTGAGCTATTTGGCTACATGCGCAGGTAGGTATCAACCCTGACAGAATAAAGGATAACTCCATGATCCATCTAATATCAGAATAAAAGCATCACCTCGGCGTGGACAGAGTCACTCAACTCCAACTTCTCGTGAAGACAGCCACCACCCTCTTCTACATTTGGGAAGCCAGATGAAAACTTGACTTCGAACAGCAAGTCCCTCGACTAGACCAACTTCTTAGCCGCATCAAGTCTCTAACCCCACCTCTCGCACAAACGCCACTGAACAAATTCATGAACTCAAAGCCACATTATAATGCCCAGTAGCTGAACCCTCCACCAAACACAACTTACATCTTTACTGACGGATCCCATAGGAACCTTTGTGACGCATCATATGGCTTTGTAATCCTTAATCCTGAGAGATGTTTCCTTGCATCCATAGGTAAACCATGCAAGCTGTGGAAGCCGATCCAAGCAGAATGGAGAGCAATTTATAAAGCTTTGATCTACCACAACTCCCACAACATCCAAAGAGTTCAAGATTTTTGTGATGCTGCAACAGTTCTATCCCTGCTTGATCGTATGAAAGCCCCGAGTACCAGCTGGGAAGACAATGGCTGTTTTGTTTTAATTCAGCAGCTGGTCAAACGGTTTGAATATTGTAATTTTCAGTATATAACAAGTTTTAATTCAGCAGCAGCAGCAGCTGGTCAAACTGTTTTGTCTCATGAAGCCTGTGTAAAAGTAAGGAACCTTTTGAATTTCTTGGCACTCCTCCCACGTGGCTATCAGAACATTTTGCGCCCATAGCCAGAGGAGATGGTCAGCACTTGTACATTCTCAAATAGTGTTGAATGAATCTGTGGTCTTTTTAAAAACAAAAAAAAAAGCATACACTTATATGTTCCAATTTAAGAAGTATGTTTTATTGTAGGGCCTTTTCAGTCTTTCTATTTAGGGTAATGATGTAATTTTAGGCTTATTAATACAAATAAAAAATGGTTGGGCAGTAATTGAGATAAATTAGTTTGACCTCTCCTACTATCTAGAGTTTTTCCCAGATTTACTTGTCTTTTAAGTTTGATCAGACATAGAATGGAGTATTTTTTATATACTTTATTTATTAAAAAAGAAGATTTCTCAAAACTACTTTACAATACAATAAACCTTGCATCTCAACAGTAATAAATGATTTGATAAAATCTCATCACTTTCTGAGAGTGCAAGAAATCTTCGATTACTTTTTGTACACTCCCACTATTGCCCAATATTTTTAAATAATAATGCAATTAACACTTGTCCCACTATCATCCAATAATTAAAAATAAAAAGGGGAAATTGTCTAAAACTCACCATGAGTTTTCAGCATTTCTCTTAAATTCACCATAATTTTTCAGAAGGTCCAAAACTCACCATTTCAAAAAGTTTTTATTTTCCAAAGCTCACCTTCTCTTAATGCACCATCAATGTTTCTTAACAGAGGTGTCCACATCAACATAAATAACATTTTTTATGACCAAATCACCCTTGAATACCGAATTAAAGGAAAAGGGTCTTTTCATTTTTCAATTTTCATTTTTTTTTACATTTTTAGTGTTTTGTTATAATTTCTAATATTTTTTATAATTTCTGTTTTTTTACATTTTTCTAATTTCTACCATCTATAAAATTTCCTATATTTTTTGTTATTTATTTGCAATTTCTATGTTTTTCTATAATTTTAGTTGTTTTTTCTACAATTTTTATTTTTTTATTTTTTTTTCAATTTCTATAGTTTCTATAATTTAAAAATAATTATTTATTTTGTGTGCAATTTCTAAAATTATTTAAATTTTTTGTAATTTCTGTGTTTTTATGTATTTTATATTTGAAAATATTTTTTGAACCTTTTCCGTTTTTCATGTCTAAATATTAAAATATACGTATGCATTTTATATATGTATATATAATTTATATTTTTCCATAAAGGATAAAATGATAATATTAAGAGAAATGTTGAAAAGTTATGGTGAGTTTTTGACAATTTCCCAAATAAAAATGCATTTAACCCCAAGGCATTGGGGCCTTATCACCAATAGCTCTAAAGCCTTCAAGGACTTCTAATCGATTGTACTTTCTAGGCATGATTACGATTATGGTTGCTTTTGTACATCTCACAATTAGACGGGTTCTACACATTTAATACATATAAAGCAAAGTTTAAAAATATCGCAACATACACATGCTTATTGTAGGATTTATTTACCCACCCAAACGTCAAGGGAATTAGGGGGTTAGGGTTATTTACATTTAAGAGAATCTTCACTAGCCACGGAAGAGAATCTATCAGATCTAAAATTTTATATTAAACACTAGGCCATGTACCATTCCATCAATGGGCAGAAGTTAGCTCTGTGCACAAACAATATAGTCGCATGCACGTTTTAAGACTGACACACAACTAGCTAGAATAATCCATTGAATCGAGTCACCAACTCTGAGGGATAAAACTGAGTTTGAAATCCCGCAATATTCGACATAGACAAGCAAGCCACCACTTTTGACATATCACCACATAAACCAGACCATAGTGGTGGGTGCCCAAGGTTCAAAACGAGTATCAAAGCAATTAATTAGTGAAGACCGGCAGCATATGTCTGAGTTGAATCGTATTGAGCTCCATATCCAGGCTGAGGTGACAAACTCTTGCCGTAACCCACTGGTGCATTAGTTGGAACACCCGCGTAACCACCTGACTGAGACATGGACTGGTCGTAACCTGGCTGATTTGTTGTAGGCTGTGCATAAACGACCTGGCCACTCGACGGTGCACCATAAGCTGAACCCTGGGGTGCACCACCATAACCTGCTGTGTCTGTAGGTCCCTGGTAACCATAATTTGCACTGTTTGGAGCTGGTTGCTCACCATAACCTGGCTGGGAGGCTGTATAAGGCCCATAGCCCCCTGTAGGTCCTTGAGCATACACAGCACCAGGCTGACCCCCTGGCTGACCATAACCAGGAGCAGCCTGACCACCTTGCTGAGGATAACCTGAAGCAGGTGCATTTACTGAGGGAGGTTGGTTGTAACCATCATTGGTGGCTGGTGTAGAACCATATGGGTATGGTTGCATGGGCCCACCTGATGCGTATGGGAATGACTGCTGGGGAGCATTTGGCCCATATGAGTGGGTTTGTGACATAGGACCTTGATATGGCATATCTCCAGGTTGACTTGCCCTAGGTGGCCCATAAGATTGGGGAGGCCCCTGTGGTGGCATGCTGTAAGGCGGTGGCTTACCATACGTTTGCTGGGGATAACCTGCTTGCGTGCTTACTTGCTGCGGGTAAGCCCCTGGCTGAGAATGTCCATGACCTCCATATGGATGTGTTGGAGGTTGGTTTTCATATTTTGGTTCTTCATATCCATGCCCATAGTTCTGCTGGGGAGGCGCTGACTGGGGATATGTAGGTTGCCCGTAGTCTGGACCCTGTGGCTGTCCATAGTAGTTCACTTGGGTAGGGGGAGGTCCAGCAGCAGCAGGGGTTGGGGCAGGTTGGGAAACAGGGGCAGGACCAGCAGGCTCACCACCATGTCCCCCTCCTTGTCCATAGTAATCATAGCCACCACCTTGAGGTGGACCCTGCATAGGAGCTGCGGGCCTTTGATCCCAACCAGCGCTAAAACCACCCCTAGGACCTGACTGTTGTGGAGGGTAACCACCATATGTTGGAGGTGGATACTGTGGACTCTGAGAAGGATACATACCTCGTTGTGGATAATCATAACCTGTTGGCTGTGCAGGAGGTGGAGCACGGGGGCCCCACTGAGGTGGACCGGTGGGTCCACGTGGGCGATAGGCTTGCTGTTGATAACCACCAGAGAGAGTAGAAGGCCTCACAGGCTGATAAAAGCAAATATAACACAGATTTAGTTAGAAATATGCATGCAGACTTTCTAGAATAAAATAAATTGAAAGGACAGGAGGCCTTCTTCATATATCATTTAGTATTCCAACTAACATTGTGGGGCCTCTGGGATATTGGCACCATCCAAGAATTAACAATTGAGTGTATCAAATAGATAAGAAATTTGAAATATTGCAGAAAGAACCCGTATCCAAATATATACAGCATTTATTGTCCACCTTGTATACGTGGCATCAGAACATCAAATAAACAGACTACATACAAAATGTATCAGAACTTATCAGGCGTTTTACCAAATCAGAGCACACATTTGATACGTTGCATGAAAAATAAAATGAATAAAATCACTATATAAAAGAATTGAACGCATAAACTCTAACCTGTAGACCACCCTTCTAGCCAATTTTTTGCCAACACATTGCACAACCTAGGAATTCTGTGGACTAAAATGTTTTAACCCTGAAAAAATAACACATGCCTCCCCTAGAGGATGAAAAACCTATGGAACCATACAATGGGAATAGCAGAGCCACAATCAACTTTCAACAACCAAAGGTACAAGAAATTACCTCTCTCCTAGCCAGCTCATACCAAAGCTTTGACTAGCCAAGGAATCCAGCAGAGTGGGATTTAACTTGGAAATCCAATCAATAAAAAAGAGGCGCCAACCATCATCTTCGAACCTCACTACAAGAGAGAGAGAGAGAGAGAGAGAGAGAGAGAGAACCAAGCAACTTCCAAATACACAACCTATGGCAGAGAAATTGCCACTGCCAAGCACCCATGCACGTTAAGCTAAACAATATCCAAGTCAAAAGAATGACTGCTTTTATCAGCAGTAACAATTTTCAAATTCCACGTGTATCACCGAGTTTGTCCCAACATGTTTTCTGAAGCAATCTATCTTCAGCATCCAATGGACCAATCTAATGGCAATCTTGTCAAATACTGTTTCGAGCATATGTAAGCTTTCCACAACAATTATTTATCTCCCCCTTCCCAAATGTACACAAATAAGACCAGAATTATTCCATATTTTTCATGACAAAATGTAGTCTTCCTGAGATTTCAAATGGTACCCAATACCACATATCCAAAATGTAGGTCATGTTCATATGAAAATCTTGAAGGTACTTACACAATGGCAGTATCAATTTTGCAGGAATTATAGACCCCATCTTGCATCCACTCTTGCAACCACCACCCCAAATTACATTTGCCTGTTCATCCCTAGATACAGATCATAACGCAATCAATTATGTATATATCATTATAGTGAAATGAGAAAGGAGCATTCTCCAAGTCTTGGCTAAACTTTCAAATCCAAGACATGGATTCCTCATGTCTTGTATCCAACAAATTAGGAAGAGGCTTCTTCTAAACCCCCATTATTTGACCAGATCCATTATTTACAAAAATTCCAATGTCCTTAACCCTCTCCAAGCAATCCAACTAAAGGGCAAAACATAACTCTAAATTTTCAACACGATTAATACATACATACCTCTCAGTGTGACAGTGTAATGGTAACTTAAGAAAGTAGAGCAAAATTCTAGCATATTCTTTTTAGAGTACAACTTTACAAAATTTCCAAGTCTTTATATCCTTAAACATCATTTGTAGCATACTATAGAGCCAACCAGTGTTTTAAAAGGTACGAGGGGTGTACACCAGGAGGCACGCCTCAAGGAGTCGGTGAGGCACAAGCCAAAAAGCCCAGCGGTGTATGCCGGAGGCATTGATGAGTACGCCCCAGGTGCAAGGGGTGTATGCCACGTACACCTTTTGCATGAGTCAAGCTAGAAGCATATGCCTCATAAAAAGACAGAAAAAAAAAA